TGCTTACCAGTGGCCCAAAGGGCACCACCAACCATAGCTAGTGGATGAAATGCTGGAAATCGCATGTAAAAATTGACGAATAGCCCAACCACAAATATACCAAAATCCACACAAAATTGCACGAAAAATCCTACAAAAAAAAAAATTGATACAAAACTTTCTGATTTTAGAAAAAAAAATTACTTTTTTTGCTTGTTTTTCTAGCAAATTCAATTTTTTTGTCACTGGACAAATTCAAGAGTTGTATTTTTTCTAAGTTTAACTGAACGAACTTCTTCTTTAATTTAATTTATCTTCATATTTTGTTGACCAAAAACACACGAAGGCACAAAAGGCCACAGATATCAAAAAAGAACTTTACCATCACCAATTTCGAAATGTTTCACTGGCACAAACATGGAACCGAACAAAATTGCCGTAATCACACATGCTGTGAGTCCAAGTGCCTGTTCTGCTGCCATTTTAACTGATCTCCTCTGAAATAGAGGCTAAGAATGTTACAATAAAAGCTTCGAACTGATTATTCAGTTCAGCATCAAGAACAATTATACTTGTTACGCAAAACAGAAAGCGTAAATTTCTCTTTTTAAATATTTTAAATGTTGTTTTTCAAATATTTTAATTTTTTTAAATAAAAAATGTTGTCGTTGTTCCAACAATTACAGTCAGAGGGTTGTGTTTGAGAGATTTACACGGAGGTCATTTTTCCTCCCTTCCTGCACATTTTGCGCAGGACGACACCCCCGAATGCACAGCAACCGAAATCATAATACAGCAAAATGAAAGTTGTTGATGAACCTACGCAACTGATTTGAACATATTATAAATACATAATCGTGCACCTGAAAGTGTCAAGAGATTATTGAAATCCGACCACTTTGTTCGTTAGTGTGAGAGAGAGAGCAAAGATTGGGCAGAGGTAATCAAACATATCTTAAATTCCTGTTCTAGCGATATTTTAGCGGGAGATTATTGTCGGGTTATCTCAAAAAGTGATGTATGGAAAAATTTTAAATGCACTGATACTGAATTAACGGCGTTTGAAACGAAAAAAGAAGGCGCAGGACTGGGGAAGAGAAAAAGGGGTTTGAGTAAGGAAGAATGAAAGGAAAATGAGAAAGAAAGAGCCAAGAAGATTATTTAAGCGATGCAGAGGTCGAGCATTGTTTTGTAGTTAAAGGACATTTGAAGAAACTCGAAGATGCATCAAAAATCTATTAGTCGAGAGAAAGGAAAGCGAGAAAAATTTCTTTTTGCCGATGCAGTAATGCCAAAATTGTCCATGCAGTAAAAAAGATGTGAAAAACTGAACCAACAAATAGATGCGTGCATCAGAGAATCGACGTGAACATATGCTTTTGTACAATTTTGTCTAAAACTGTTCGCACGGTTGAAAGGCAAATTTCAAGTATGTTCGCAAAGCTGATTCTTACTTATCCAAGGTTGCAGTCCTAAGTTTGGAGAAGTTGGATTCCACTTTCTTGTCGGCCTATTTGTGGAGAATCTCAGCTTATTAAGGCTTATCAAGAAAATCTCAGCTTATTAAGAAATTTTTGGTGATTGACGCCAGTGAGCGCAAAAGATAGGTGTAAGGCAACAACCATTCATGCAGTTAATGGCCTGAGGACTTCAAGTCTGGTGCAAAAATGCATGTTCGCACCGGCAAGCCTGGTGAGTTTTTACTTGAGTTCCTGGTTTTTATGAGTCTTTGCATATTATGCAAATGCAAAAACACATTTGGCAGGGGCTGTCTGTTTGAGTGTGTGTGTTTGTTTCAGTGTGTTGGTCTGCTCGTACTTTTTTGAAACTTTTGAGAAGCTAGAAAACTGAAAATTTGGGAGCGAATATTCACCCCATGTGCGACCCTTGCGTTTTAATATTGTCATTCATCTCGATCTCAAATTACGGGCCCTAAACCAAAATAAATAGCGAGGCGCACCAGGGTAGCCAGTACGATCATGCATTTTGCGCAGTCGCGGTCGGCCGACGTTTGCTTACTAAACTTTCGTATATGGAAAAATAGTTGATATGCTGTCTGGCTCCTAAGGTGGAAAATTTCCCACTGAAAATACACGTGCCGATACGCGAATGCTGAATTTGAAAACATGAATGGAGAACATTCTTACAAATTTCAACCTTCTAGTTTTCTGCCTTCGAGCTAGTGACTTT